CGTCGCCTCCCTCACTTGCTCGCCCGGCGCCCCTGCGCCCCGACTCGTCCTCGACCCCACTCCCCGGCGGGGTGGCGGCGGCCGGGCCCCCGTGGCGGCGGCTGGAGCAGCAGCGGCAGCAAGAGCCTGCCTCTATGATGAAGTTCAAGCCTAACCAGACGCGGACCTATGACCGCGAGGGCTTCAAGAAGCGGGCGGCGTGCCTGTGCTTCCGGAGCGAGCAGGAGGACGAGGTGAGCGGCCGGCGCGCACGCTGCCCTCCGCGGCGGCCCGGGCGGGTGGGCTGCGGTCCGGGTCCCCGTCCCCGTCCCCGCCCGACCCTGCGTGGGGCTGCCGCGCTCCGCGGGATTAGCCCCCTCCCGCGTCCCTCCTCCCTCCCCTCTTCCTTCCTTTCTCTGGGTTGGTGGAGGAGACAAAGGGGCTCGCCCAGCCCTACGAGCTCCATCTGGGCCCTCGTGAGGACCGGAGGCCGAGACGCCGCCTGGCCCCGGGGAGGTCCCGGGCCGTGGAGGTCTCACGCCTAGCAGAGTCACCATCTTAACCTGTGAATTGAGCTTAAAGCCGGATAAACCCGAGTGCCAACTGAGAGGGTAGAAATGGCGTGAGTGCCGCAGCCCGAGCCCTTCCTGCCTCTTCCTCCCATGTTACAGCGGTTTGCGGTTTCAGATTAAATCTAGGCGTGTTTGTGGAGTAGCAGACAGTCCTCGTGCTTTAAAATAATAACCCGGTCGGTCTATAGGCAATTGGCAATTTCTCTTTGAAGTGGATCCATGAACTCGCAAGCAGTTGGTATTATAAACTTCATTTAAAAATCGGCCTCATTCTTTTAAAGTTTTCTGACTGCGAAAGGATGGTCAGTGAAAAATGTGGAATAACGCCCAAAGGGAGAAGATGGACTAGAGACGGGCAAAATTGCCGTGTTTCAGACGTAATCTCTAGCTCTCGGGCCTGTTTGTCAAGGCTTTGCTGTTTGACCTGACATGTGGGAAGGAGTCTTCTATAATTTACCCATCTGCAGTGGGTTGATAGCGAGGACCTTGGGGCTTCCCCGGAGAGCGGTTTTTTACTCATTTCAGTTACATTTATTTTTTAAATAACTCACAGTTTTAAACTTGCATAGGGCAATAATTCTCAATTGCTTGCTGATGAAAATCTTTTAGCATTGCTACTCCTTAGGGGATTAGACAGGGAAAATTAGCATTCTGAGTTGTGCTTCCATAACCGGCTCTGTCCAATAAAATAGCAGGCTAAAGCTGGAGATGGGAATTTAATGGCTTCCTTATTACTAGGCCCTGTAGTTACAATGCGTATTACATAGTATATACATACACTCAGTAGCTTGGTGTTCTCGTTCTTTTACCAGATCAAGTGCTTGAAAATCTTCAAACTCTTACTTTGTTTTGGTTTTTGGTTTGTTTGGTTTATTTTATTTTATTTTTGTGGCTTAAGGACACCAAGACCTTTAGGTTATTTGACCAGTGCTCAGTCGAGGGCCCTTAAGCTTTAAACCTAAACCCTTAAGGAGTTTCCAGAAGAAAACTATCTTGGAATGGGTCTGTTTAGGATAGCTAAAAACTCTAAGGAGAAAGGTTTTTAACATTTGAAAGTGAAAAAAGTCAACAAGCATTAAGTGCCTTCTATCAAAAAAAAAGACTAGAAGGTCTTTGAGGATAGGGCCCTGTGAGGGCAAAAGAAACTTTGAATTAAAAAGACTGTAGTAGCCAAACAGATGAAGGTAGACCCAGGATCTTGTCTGACTTGCACACCATTGTTTCACCCATTCTTGAGTGCTTACAATGTGCTAGGCACTGCCAGAGCAAGGTTTGTTACGTTTAATTCCTTTAACACTGGGAGGTAGTGCTGGTTATTCCTTTGTTTTTTTGTTTTTGAGAGATTTTTGCTATAGAGTGTGCGCTCTCAGAGGAGACAGAGAAAAGGTGAGAAATAATTCGCAGTGGGGAATGGTCATCTGCAGTCCCTTCTTCATTCTCTAGGGGTTTGGGGCATTCACACACACAGACCCAGCGTGAATTTCAAGCCCCCAGGTCTGGGATTTGAACTGCAGTTGGTCATGCAGGAGTCTAGTTCCTCAACCATGTGCCACCCTCTGGCCCCAGTTATGTCCATTAAATAAGTGAGAGACAATTGAAATGAGCACTTTGCCCAGATGACAGTAGAAAATGCTGGAGTCAGAATTCAGGGTTCAGTCCCTACTCCTGGCTTGAGCTCTTTGCACAGGTTCCGCCCTGTAGTCGTTGGATGCTGGCAATTTGTAGAACGAGTGAGATTTTCTGAGAGTTAGCTTGGAAATCTGATTTAGGAAAAATCAGAAGAGATTATTTTTGTGCTTAGAAAGTCTGTCTACTCTAGAGGCAATGACTTAAATCCATAGCCTCTGGTTGAGTCTAGAATATAGTGCCATTAGATAAAATGGAGTAAGGTGCAAGATTTGGAAAAGATTAAATCTATTATGTAAAATTTGGTAAATCTGGTGATCTGTAGGTTGAGAGTTTCAGTGAATCAGCTTGTTAGAGGCTATGCCCTGAGGGAAGGTTCTGGAGTTCTCTGAATAAAACACACAGGCAACTTCAAATCTGGTTTAGCTCCTCAGAGTTCATTTCTGTGGTTGTTATAGTTGAAACTGTTTCTAGTACATGACAATTAAAGAATATAAACTATATTAGTTTCCTGGTCATTTTACAGTGCCAGCCTTCTAAGGATAGAATGTAACCAGCTTGAACCCACCTCTAGCTGAGAGGTGAGAAGTGTTTTCCTCTACTATGTTAAGAACCTTGATCCTGGTTAGGAGATTGAAGTGTACATTTTATTGGAGGATGAAATGTTTATGCAGCATAAATTTAGTAAGAAAGTAATTGCTATTTGACCCCAAAAAGCTATGTGGTGCTCCCATCTGGCCTGTCCTGTACAGAAGTTCTCAGTAAATCCTTATTTTAGAACAGATTGTTCTAGGAAAAAAGGTGTTTCTAACAGCAGTCTGTTGTATTTTGGAGGTAGCTTTCATTTTCTCCCATTTTATCTTTTTTTTTTTTTTGGCCTGGAGGTAAGTATTAGCATATGTATAGGAAGAAATTAGGTAACTGAAGTGACTTGTCCCAAGGTCACAGAAGCAGGCAGATTTTTTTGTTTAAGTTTTTGCCACAGGGCATGTGTGCTCTCCAGGAAAAAGGGAAAGTGAGAAGTCACCCCCAGGGAGAGGGTCCATACCCCATTCTCCCGAAGGGTATTTTGGACACATGTGAATGTGTGCCCAGCGTGATTTTCAAGCTGTTGGGTCTAGGACTCAAACCATGGTTGGCCATGTGGGAGTCCAGCACCTTAGCCAGCATGCCACCTTCTGGCCCTAGGTTTTGGGGTATTTTTTGTTTTTTGTTTTGGTTTTTTTTCCTTTTTTTTTTTTTTTTTTTGAGAGATTTCTTGTTATATGGCTAATGTGCTTGCCAGAAAGACAGAGACAGACAGAAAGCAAGAAATCACCCTCCTGGGGGATGGCCACACCACAATCCCTTCTCCTCTCAGGATCTTGGGTACGCACGCACATGTGCCCGGCGTGAGTTTAAGCCACTGGGTCCGAGACTCGAACTGTGGTCAACTACGTGGGAGAGCAGTGACGTAGCCATTACGCCAACTGCTGGTCCCGGCCCTAGGTTTTTTGTTGCTAAAAGGTTAAGTTCATTTGCCCTTTGCCCCTTTTTATTTAGTTATTTCTCTAGGGAAACAACCCTCCGTTTTAGCAGCTGGTCTTCCAGACAAGTCCACAAACAGTGGTCCTATAGAGAGCTGGGGTATTGTGATTGTACAGTAAAAGATGACAATATCCTTACAAACAGGTAACCACAAATGGATTCCATTGAACATATTTGCATGTATGATAGTATATTTGAACATGGAATGCCAAGATGACATTTCAACTCCTGAGAACCATATTCTGGAGGAGGACGGTCAGTCACATGGCTGATAGGCAAATGTGCTATTAGGTGCTCTGGGTTCACATCCAGTGTGAGTCATTTCAGTTGAATTTCAATGAGTGGGAAAAGAGGACCCAAACATCTCAAATAGAGCTAGATTTGGGGTTGTGGTCTGGTTGGGCTATGGCTTAGGATAGCACAGAACAGAGTAATCGTTGATTAAACAAAGCAGCTTAAATATAAGGCTGAAGTTGCTAAGCAAGAGAGCATTTTTAGTATGGAACAAAGAACATTTAGATTTTTAGGTGTATCTCAAGCTTAAGAAGAATGATCTGGCAGCAAACTAAGCTAGGCTGCTAAGGGGAGAATAGGAATGACTTGATCCTGGGTAGAACCCAAACATAGTTCCAAGAGAGAGGCAGCAACAAATCAGTCTTAAATGATCACTACTCTTCACTGGACTTGTTCCTAGTTAGATTGTAAGCTCCTTGAAGCCAGAGGCTGTGTCTTCTGCAGAGGTCCTGCAATCGTGCTGAACATATGACTCTGAAAAATTCCGAGTTGTACAAACTCATTCAGTAAAATTGAGACTTGATCTGAAAAGTTAAGTCTCAACCTAATCCTAAACCTAGAACTCCAAACCAGAATGCTTAAACTAATACTAAACCTGGAATTCTAAACCAGAATGCTAAAACTAACAATCCTAATAAGAAATATTAACACAGTTAAATCTTCGCTAGTTTTCTTTTGTTTTGTTTTTGCTAGAGGTTGCATGTACTCGCCAGAGACAGGAGAATCCACTCTGCATCTGGAATGGTCGTGCTTTAATCCTTTCTCCATCTTTCCTTTTGGAATTTTCAGTATGCTCACACGTACACCTGGTATTCCTCAAGCTTTTGGGGCCAGGATTCGAACCATGGGGTCAGTCATGTGGGATCCAGCTGCCTTAACCATCAGACCACTGAGCTAGCCCTCCACTAGCATTTTTTTTTTCCTAAAGAGGTTTTTGCTATAGTGTATGCGCTTACCAGAAAGAGACTGAAAGTGAGATATCACCCTCCCTGCCCAGGGAGGATGGCCACACCGCAATCCCTTTTCCTCTGTTCTCCTCTTGGGATCTTGGGCACTACATGCACATGCACCTGGAGTGAATTTCAAGTCACCAGGTCCTAAACTCGAACCTCAGTTGACTACATGGGAGTTTAGCGACCACTAGCATTTTTTTATATATCTTTTTGATACTTAGAATCAAGAGTTTAACATTTTCAGATGTATACTTGAAACAATTTGCTTCATGTGTATCTCTC